AAGGATAGGTGTGGCTTGGTGTTCTCCTCTTAGTGAATGTGACGTTGATTATTATATATAAATCTTTCCACATAAACACCATATCTTGTGGTAGATTGCGTCACTTTGTGTCAACATTAATCCCAGGAGGAACATTTTTAAGCCGTAGTAAAACTGGAGTACATTGTGAGCTCGAGAGGCTTCATACGTTCTTCCTCCGCCTGTGAACATGACCTTCTAATCTAACACTAAAGGAATGTGACTGATTCCATTTCGTAGCATCCTCTCAGTTTACCAACATTGGTAACACAAGTTCAGCCATTGACGAGAGAATCTACTGTTCGGCACAGACGTGTCACAAATGCTTCAGTCAAATTCAGTCCTGGGGGGACGGAACTATTACTACAATATGTCAAGTCCATTTTCTTATTAAAGAAGACGATGAATCCAAACCTTAACCTTATGACGTTATCTCCTTTGAAATAGATGTAAACAATACGAATACATTTTAGCTTTTGAAGCTCTGAGAAACTAGAAAGGCCTGTTTTTATTGCATTGTGTTGTCATAATGAAAGAAATAATGCAAACTGCGCTATCTGACGACCACAGATGGTTCATGTGTGCTCATCGTCTTCACGGGTGCCATTGGCCTCGGTCACCCAACACCGGCTCACCCTCCTGGAGAGCGGAGCCGAGGCCCGTCTGGGACCTGCGGGGTCAGCGCCGGAGACGAGTCCCGAACCAGCAGCTGTCATCAGCACTGACAAGGTTCACGTCATCTCCAAGCAGGCCAGGACCGGGTACAACAACTGCAGGGAGGCTTGGAGGGGTAAAAAAAGATGCAGATGGAGCCGTGTTCCCTGCGCGTCTGCAATTATCGTACAAATAAGACTCCTGGCTCTTTGGGGAACGAGGCCGCTGGCTCATGAAACGACCGGGAAGGGGGGAGGGGAGTGATTATTATTACAGCGCGAGCCTGGAGGCCAAACACAACATTCACTCTGCCTGAACCGTGGGGAGCAGGTAGAGGTGGGGTTACAGAGAGACAGGCGGGTGGTGGGGCGAGACAGGTGGAGTGCCAGGTGTCGTTGGAAGCTGCAGAGGAGAAACTCTCTCTTACTGTACTCGAGGCCAACAGGAAACCCGCTCTCAAGCCCAGACAGGAGAGGCAACGTCTCGGGCGCACGTGTGTGTTATCAGCAGGTCTGCTTTAATATGAACGCGTTTAAAAAATAATGACATGTTCTAAACAGCTGCAAGCTCTGTCGCACACACCTGAGAGAAACTGCCAGGACCCATGACGGAAAAACATGTGTTCTATTAACAAATTAAGAAGCCTACATTCAATACACTGAGTCACGTCATTGTATCAAGTTAATTCCACAAATAAAAGGCAGGTAAACAATACAACCTTTTTGAACAGACAATAACTTTTAAAGTTAAGTTCTCTAACGTTAAGCCGCAAAAAACTACTACTTTTGAGCTTGCTAACGTTAGCTAGCGAGGCTAATGACGTTTGCTAGTTTGCAGAGGACATTTGCATCGCTAGCTAATGCTAGTTCAGATGAGCAAAATCACAAGGTTAGTACAACTTGTTCACTGCATAACGTTACAGCTAACTTCATCAATTAAAGTTATATCGAAATATTAAGGCTGTATTGTGTATCTGGGTATCCTGCGGAGCGCCTCTATCGTACACAATTACCAACAGTCGTCCATTCAATTGATCTGGGAGATCTTGAGTTTTCGATGCCAAAAGACACAAGGCACAAGCGTTGAAGGGATTTTGCAATTCTGGAAAAGCTGCCAAATTACATGCCATCGTGGTAAAAGTTCAACTAGATCAGTTTATCTGTTTTAGCCCGAGGATGATTGAAACAAATAGAGGCTGGGTTTTATTTGCAGTGCTAATGGACTATCTTTAAAGACGAGTGTTTAAAGGCGTTGCACCACAAAGGAACGGCAGGTTTACTCAAGTTTCTTTATACGGTACCTCTGAAACACAGAGGCAGTGCAAAGAACTGTAACAGGCATTAGATCTTCAATTAAAGGATAATGAGAACAATGAACAAGTGTGTTTATATTTATTCTCTAATATTCTCTGGGATTCAAGCGATTTACAAGAAGGAAAACTCAAAACAAAGACTTTCAAAATTGTACAAAACCATGGTAATGCCAACCTCCTTACACATTTTATTGCTCCTAATGTATGTAGAGTATTTATGGTAAGGATGGGCTCTTTTGTTGTATTTGTCCTGCAGCACACATGCAGCCATACTTCCAAATTCCTCTTAAAGAATAGCGACCCGACTGCAGCAGCAAGAAGAATGTAGAGAATGGGGGAAACTATTCACGCTAATGTGCAAAATATAAGTAGGATTCTTGCGAAACGCTCTCTTCTCTTTTTTTGTGTGTCACATTCTTATTTGGAAAAGATAAATGATATCTTCAACAGCTCAGCAGGAAGGGAGGGGAGTGAGGCTCTCCGCTACAGCGGTTTCACACCACAGAGACATCTCCTTTGTCTGCTGTAACAAAGAGAATTCAAATCAGAAGACAGACGGTCATAGATTACTTCCTCCTTCTCCTGGCCCGGAGATAAATGCGAGGGATAAGCATGCTCTCTGTCTCACACACGCAGTCTCTATTTCCTAGAGCCTCTGCCTATTTACTCCTGTTGTCCCATGACTCATTGTGATCCACTGCTGGCTTCCTCCCTCTGCTTTACATACATTTGACAGTTGGTAAAACCAGTTTTTGCAGAAGCACTAATCACATCCAGCTGCTTCATCTGTCACCGACTCGGCTGATGCGCTTCATTTGTTTTCTTGTTATCTGAATAAGTGGCCCGGCGCTGTGTTTGTTCCATCGGCATCCTTCATGCTGCTCATTAGAGCAGGTTGGGTCCGATCCGAAGGGGGGTTTTAGCGTGAAGGCTTAACTCCTGACTGTGAACCTCAACCCTTTGAAGCTGGTGACCTCCTGGTCCACGGGTCACAAGGTTTTTTGCCCCCCCGATGCCACGGTGACATCCAACACCTTTGCCCCACCCCCACCAGGTCCAGGAGGCTCGGCCGCATCCCAAGCCAAAGAGACGTAAAAGCGGCTTCTAAACCTTCGCAGGTTTATCACACACACACCCAATTAGCAAACAGAGCCCGCACACACACCTCTGCGCTTAGGACTTCCACTTTGACACTCGCAAACAACAAAATGTTGCAAAGGTGTAAACGCGGCCTCCACCTGCACAAACGGCACCTTTTTATCCCTCTCTCACGTATTAAATTGGTCTCAGCAGTCAGCCTTCTTTACCCTCCAGCTCCACTTGGCCGTGCTTGTTATGCTAATGCACTTTATCTGCTGCTTCCACCTCTCCTAATTAATCCCAAAGTAAAAGCAGTAGGCGCATTCATCAGACATTCCTTCAGGGGGGGGGGAGGGGGGGGATCCTCACCGCCTCGACTCTTTCATTCCGCTTCTCTGTGAAAATATTAAAGCTCACCGAAGATCAGAAAAGGTGAAATGTGAAGTTTCTGTAGAAACTAAATCGGTCTGCTTGGTCAACTCAAACGCCTCGGAGGGTAGACGCAGGCTGTCGAATTGGTAAAACGATTACATCCCATGTGTTTTGCTAATCACTTTTGTTCACCCATGAAAAAACGTCATTCAGAACCACACTTCCTAAATCCATCCATCCGTACCGTGCAATCCAACAGCGACGGCTTTTGAGGTGCGTCACTCAAAGCATGTTGCTGCAAGGAAATGCGGGACGGCATCATCTCCTTTATTTCAGTAAAGCACACCGCATGATGAAGCATTGCAGCCCCTTCGCTCAGCATTCAGAGAATCTGCCGGCTCTTATCACGCAGCCGTGGTAAGAGACAAAGGGACGGAGGTGGGAGGTGCTCCGGGGGGGGGGGGGTCTGGAAAGGTAAGGGCCACCTAAGGGCTTGGGGGAGTTTAATGTGAGTGCGTGTGCATACGGGGTAAAAGGGCCGAGGGGCCAAAGGTCAAAAGTCTGGAGGACAGGAAATTAGCCACACCTGAGGATTAACGGAAACGGCCGCTCGAAGCACTTAGGACTCCTACAAGAGCCCCCAGCATGTGCGTCCGTGTTGAGTCAGCTTCTGACTGACGCAGGACTACAAAATGTCGTTCTGTTTCAAATGTTAAATACAGCTCGTCAACAAAGAACATTCTGTCTAATAGCAGATCACATGTTAATGGTTGCTGGAAATCAATAGAGGAGGCCGTTCCTTTGTCTCACCCAGTCCAGTCCATTTTCATAACAAGCTTATATCCCCCCCCCCCCCCCCCCACAAGCTTCTTGCAGCAGGAGGGGGGTTGGTCTCTGCTCGGCCTTCATCCATATCCGTCTGTCAATTAGCCAGAAAACAAAATCTCTCTCCATCTCTACGACAGGACAAAGACTGCAGCGCTCGCATCCCATTGCTCACGCCGACACGGGGACGCTGTGAAACGTCCCACGGACCCCTGGACACTCAATCTCTCCTCCATAGATCCTGATAACACACGTGTCTCTGTGCTGCTCTCCAGCTGTTACAATCAGTTCTGTATATTGTGTGTATTTGCAAAAAGCTCGGTTAAATCACATACTTTTTTTAGTAAGTCTGTGCAATATCACTGTGAAATGATATTAAGATATTAAGCAATAGAAAGGACACAAACATTGTCCTGTACGTTTTGATTACAATAAGTCACTGTATTTATCTAACGCAGTAGATATTTGCACATTTTCCCGCCGGTGAAACTGCTGACGCCAGAATACTGTTCTTTTTGACTTGTTCCAGCGAAGGACCCTTTGTTTTCGATCACATTAACTTGCTGTACTCCTTTGATACAGTATATACGCTGTGAAATGCACAGCAACTCCGTGGTGAAACTGCTGGCCGTCGTGCACCGCGATGGTAGAGTTAGTGTCTCTAGTTAACGTGGTCACCATTCACAGTCATCCACTATACTTCCACCCTGCGAAATCAGAGGAGGCGAGTGATGTTTACCTGTCAGCGTCCCCCTGCCCCGACGAGGCGTTTCGATGGAGCGTCTCTCTGACGGAGGTCATGCTGTCGGGCAGGCGGTTCAGGCGGCGCGTGTACAGACCCAAGCCTCCGTCAGTCATGTAGCTGCGAAGGGCGAAGCACAAAGCGCGTTAGACATCGCCAGCGTGGAGCAGTTTTAAGGCACGCAAATTAAGGGCTCAGAGAGGATGAACTCAAGTTCGTGCAGCACAGTGACACACTTTGTGTAAGACTTTGCTCGGGGTTGACACAATATCTTTGTTTATTTCTTCTCGGAGTTGCTTTTGCAGCATAAAGATCAGGACGAGCACACGTCCATCCCATGTGGCCAGTCGCCGGGCTTCAGAGGCCATTCGCGTCGTTTCATAACGGAAAACAACTTTTGGATGGAGGCGGTTTATTGGCGGCTGGAGTCGGAGGCTGACCGTCAACACTCACACAAACATTCCCATTCAAACTGAAACAACACAGACTAATTCCCCAAACATTTACCCGCGGAGGAGAGTCCTAACGGAACTAAACGCTGACTCATTTAACCCAGGTGTAATTTAATGAAACGTTGACGGCTTCCTGTGTGGCGCTGTGATGATTCAGTTGCCAAACTGCCACAACCTTGTGTTATCTTTGTGTGGATCTCGGCAACAGGCAACCCAGCACACACACACACACACACACACACACACACACACACAAACAGACATTCATACCTACAAGAGTATACAGTATTCACACTACAGCGTTTAGCAGAGACAGAGCTCCTTTGTGTAAGTCCAGCCAAACCAAATCAGCATCTGGGCTGCGAGACAGGAACTTAACGGCCACCAGACGTCACTCAGCGAGCGGAGAGCAAACCTGAACAGAGGCTGGACCGACTGCAGACTTTTAAATGTTTACAGCTGCAGTTTAGGATTAGGAATTTATTTAATTGACAGCTAAATATTTAAGGTTGCAATACGCGTGTTTCCTCTACAGGCTAAAAAAACGATGCTGCAGGTAGATGTTTCATTTGAAAGTCACTCACTTGACTCGGCCTCTCTGGGTTTTGAGGTTGTTTTTATTTTACTCGACCCAGCTGTGGCTGGAAAAGAGGCTGTTGTTGAGTATTCAGGCTGGGAAAGCGAAACAAAGCCTCCAAAAGAAGCTGTGTGCGAAGGGGGGGGAGATTCACCGTGGTGATTTAGAACAGATACAAAGCGGACTGGGACGGATTGGTTGTACCAAACAGCATGTGAATGCCGTCCCAGCGGCAAGTATCAGATGTTGTGCACAAAGGCTGCGGCTACTCGCTCAGGTCATCTGGTGGCCGCCTGCTAACGTTTACCCGGGGTTCAAACTAAACATGGAGATTCCCCATTTTGTTACCATGAACCAAAGCGCTGGAACAAACATTATGGAGAGACACTTATATTCGCAGCTGCCCTTTTTGCAGCCAAAGAGGATTTTGTTGTGTTTCGCTTCAGAGTGACACGTCGTCTTTCAGACTAGAACAAAGAAAAGATAGAATACACATTTACGTGTTTTTTCTTACTACTTTGTCTGCAGATTTCACCTAGATACAATAAATGGGCTAAACATTTGCTAATTTCAACCTAATTTCGACCTTTATCTCTGGATTTGTTTTTCTGAGACTATTACAGGGTTTTTGTGTCCACTGCCGGTGCTACTGTTGGTCGACAAGTCCATCCCTCTGAATTTGACAAACAGTGGTACGATGGACAAAGAGGTCAACAACTACAGTTGAATAAAATGATAAACGTCATTTGACTTGTTGTGAAGGATATTTTCAAAATAAGAGCAGACAATGGAGACGGGTGAAGACCGGTGGGTCCTTTATGGGGAGCATTCATCATCCCAAAACAAAGTCACCTTCAAGACACACGCTACCATAATAAGCCGTCACACTAATGAGTAACTGAACCTCCCCGTCCTGTTTTCAGATGCTGGTTAACCTGTAACGTTGCGCGGCGGGAGGAACGTGTCCAAACAAGACGGTTTATGGGCTGAAACACAGGCGAGTTTACACAGTGCCGTAGCAAACACAAGCAAAACTTGTTGGGCAAATGAAACTGCAGAAATGTTTGACACACTAAGAATGAACGCAATGTCACGCTATGGAACAAAAAACAGACAGAATCTAGAGCTTCTTTAAGTAGGAATGTCTAAAACCTGACGTACCTGTCCGCTTCAAACATGGTAAAACAGTTAGTCCAAAGGCAAACAAACAAGTCCAGGTGAGTGTTGATCCCCGGTGATAAAAATCTCCAAAGCAAAGGTGTCCGTTTTCAACTGTCTGGCTACTGTCTGACTATCAGGTCTGAGCCTGCGTGCGGGTTCTGCTGTTGTGTGAATAATATCAGCAGGTGAGAGTGTGTTGGATCATGGTGATATCAGATGTGAGCGCGCTGCGTCAGCGAACTCTCCACTATGTGTCCATGAGTGCAGCCTGAGCGTGTGCGTCTGTGTGTGTGTGTGTGTGTGTGTGTGTGTGTCGGTATGCAGCCTCTCTGCTCGGCCCCACATGCGTTTCCCTCCTGGCAGGAGGTCGGGTCTGGCTGTGAAGAGAGAGCGGAGGAGGGATAGGATGGAGGAAGGGGGAGGGCGCCAGTGTAGATCGAGAAACGTACCCCCGAGCTGAGGAGGCAACGGGGGGGTGGTGGGGAGGGGGGGCGGCGGCGGGGGGTCCTGGGGTCTCCAAGGGCCAGAGACGCCGGGGGGGGGGGGAGAAACAGAGGAGGGGGGGAGGGAGAAAACCGATGCTGATACTAAATATGTCATCAGTCATGTTGTCTGCTGTAGGAGCCATATATGATTAAACGAATGATTTACAGAGACAGACACCAGATTATCTGATCTCAGTCGACTGCATATGAATAATCAATAATTCAGCCCTTGTTTTTTGCGTTATATTGATTAATCGTGCCAAAGCTGCAGGTCTTGACGTTGCTTTGTTGGTCTGAACAACCCAAAGATTGTAAATGCACAACACTGAATATGGTTTAACTGTGGAATCAGAATACAGTGGGAAAACAAGTAGATGCTTAATTAAAAAAAGACAAACGATTCCCCAAATTCAGTGCAACTTCTCGTTGGATTCACCTTTATCTAATTTATCTTTGTCAAGGCATCTGGAAGATTGATTGGGACTATTTCTTTAGGAGGTATTTTGATATAAACTGATCAAAACAGGCACACAGGTATTGCGTCTGGAAAGAGATGATGCCCTCGAATTTTTGCAATGTAATTACATTGACAAATAAATTCCACTCGGCTCCATTGATTTGAGGTGAACGCATGCGCTCCAGTGACCCGATATCTCAAACCCAGCGGCTAAATGGCCCGAGGACGTGGAGCGAGGCGGGGGCTGTCATCAGTCTGCGTCTATTTAAAACCCATTTTCTTTGGCGCAATCTCGCCATCGGAGAAAATCACCAGCAGGAAATTATTTCTAAATTGCCTACCTCGTAGGTCCGATCCCGGCCCGAGCATCACGTTTCAGAGCAAGCGAATAGGCCCCGCTTAAGCGGCTCACATCACTCACCTGTCCAGGTGTGGCTGCGACCTTTGTCTGCTCAACCGCAAATTCACACATATCAAGTACTTGAAGAGCACTCGGCTCCCTCGACTTCTCCAGCCGCCTCAGGGGCGGGCAATCGGAGGACGGAGGAGGCAACCCCATTGCATTGTTTCTGCTCTCCGAGCTTTCAGACTCTCAATCCAAATTTGCGTTTATTTGAACTTAAACAAATCCCTGCAGCAGCTCTGTCACACGAGCCGGGTCTTTCGCCGCTTTGCGAAGGCGGGTTTGCACCTTTCGCAACTTTATCTGATAATAATGATGAGAGCAAAGGTTTAAATTGCACAGTGTGACAGCCAAAGTATGCAGCGGGGGCCTGTTGCAACACGGACGGTGGCTCAGAAGGAGCAAAACAAAACAGGTTATTAGCGTTATTGCGTCTGCAGACGGAGAGACGGGACACACGTGGGATCCGAGCTGTGCAGAACTGTCGGCTGTCATCCGCCACTTCACAGGCGGGAATGTTGAGGAAGGAACACTAGCGCCCTCTTCTGGCAAACCTGTATTTCACGTGGTCGACCATCACCACATATTTCAACCGGCCCGAATGACAAACATGTTTATCGTACCGTACGGCAGGTCACACTGCAGGTTTTTGATTAAATTGAATATTAATCAGATACTACCAGATGGTGGGTACAAATCAATTGATCTATTTTTTATAATCTATTAAGGACTACATTCAAATATTGCCAGAGACCAGGGGAGAACCAACATTTCTTCTCAAGAAATAAAAATGTGTAAGTAAATCCTCACGTCGGAGAAGCTGGAACCCATAAACATTTGGAATTTTCCTTGTGATCTTATCGATTCAAGCAGTTGCAATTGTTTGCAGCATCAGCAGTTTGGATTAATAAGCGTGCGTCAGTGTAATCCACTTACCCGCTGGCGACATCGTCGGTGCGCGCGGCGTTCTTGCTCAGCACGTCCCCGTCGCTCATGTATCCGGTGACGTCCACTGCGATGTTGTCCAGGTCAATGTCCTCCCCAGCTTTGTCCCCGAGGTCCACGCTGCCTCCCCTGCCGGCCAGCTGCCGCCGGAGATGCCCCGGGTAGAGGTAGCGCCCCGCCTGTCCGCCTGCCGCCCGGCCGCCGTAGCTGTTCCCCATAGAGGGGGCGTCGCCCGCCTGCAGGCGAGGGCTGGAGTGGCCCAGTCGCCACGACGACAGGGATGGGCGGCTGGAAGTGAGGCTGAGGATGCTCCGACCCCCTCCGCCGCTGTTGCTGACCCCGCTGCCGCCTCCGCCGCCGCCGACGTCTGTGGTGACGCTGCCATCGAAGGTGGTTTCCAAGGTGCTGCGCAGAAGCAGACGGAGAGAGGATTAAGGGTTGAATCTAGTGTCATTACTTCACAGAAGGTACATGAGGAGAAGAGACCTCTTAATGCGGTTCTGAGCTGGTTTAATGACTTCATGGCTGTTATTACATAGTAACATACATCTATTTAAAGATGTCTGAGATATAATGCAGGTTACGAAGGATGGAGCAGCAAACTGCAGTCTCTTCTCTGACTGACCAATAGAAAGTAGAGATAAAACGAGGCCGGAGCAGAGGTCAAACTTCTGTGGCACGGACCGCGATTGGAGCTCAGCCTGAATCAAAGACGGCATGAAAGACGGGCCCCGCGATCAAAGCGAGGGGTCCCTCAAAGGAAGGACGAGACGGGAACCAGAAGGAAACGAGGTAATACCTGTAAAGCCAGATGGACACAGTCTGCTGACCACGACGTGGGTTCAGAATCCCCCCCCCGGTTCCCCCGACTGGCTTGTTTACCACTCAGCCGCAGCAGCCATTGTAAGGCGCTGCGCTTTGATGATCCCTCAACAGTACAGCCTTTGTTTTTCACTGAAACACCTTTCTGTTAAATCCTCATTGTGTTGTGTCATGTGTGAGCAGAAAAACACCGTAAACATGTTTGGTTACTCTCGTGGTTTTTATAAATGACCAATACTTTCTTTTCTTTTTATTGTAGGTTTGCTTTGCAAACTTGAAAAACATGCATGAACAAGATGTCTTGTGTTGATGATCAAGTGTAATTATACCAAATTTCTTATTTTACTGCAAATGTATGGGTCTTTTATGTGTTTTGCATTTTGATAATGAGTAGTTGGACTCAGCAGCGCTGCACTACTTAATCCCCACAGACTGCCTGTTAAAACCAGCTGGCAGAACAAATGCATTAGTTCTTGTTTTTTTTACCTGTGTGTGACTTGAGTTCCTCGCAAGCTGGACATGGTCTCCTCCAGGTTTTGCCGCAGGTCTGCTATGTTTTTCACGGTACGCAAGCGCCTCGTCTCCGGGTCCTCGCCTGAGGGAGACAAAAAACAGAACCCAGCTCAGAAACACCGAGCGGCACAATAAGCGGACGGAGACGGACCCGGTTCCCCGAGAGGCCAACGCACCCGAAAGGTCCTCGGTGGACAGCTGGCTGGTCTTGGTGAAGGAACCGTCTCCACAAGTGTTCCCAGTTTCCTCGCCGTCTGTTTGGGATCTGGAGGGGGGGGAAGCAAACAGTCGGGGAGGTCAAAGGGGTGGGGATATCATCGATTCGGAACTACTGTGCATTTAGTGCGAAGCTAATGTTCCGCAAATTGTCACGAACGGGGGATAAACCTGATTAAGGATTAAATCTGCTGCGTTTCAAGCCTTGTGACCGGAGACTCAAACGAACGCCCGCTAAGCCCTGAATGCCAGTAAAAAGGTACTCTTTGACGGATAAATCAATACAGTTCACCCGCGGCACTGGCTGGTGCTCTTTCAGATGACGACGTTTGAATGCCTCGGTTATTTCCGGCCTTCGGTCTTTGCCTGATCCCAGACTTTGACCCCGATCAAAGACTTCCCTTCAACTTCTGCCTAACTGACCTGGTGTTACTTAAAACTTTAACATTTTCTGTTTCCTATATTCCTCTTTATCTTTCTGACAGGTGGAGGCGTTATAATGCTGCGTCTGACAGATATGCAGGTTCTGAGTACTGATGAGTTCTGAGATGATGGGGCACTTCTGGGGAGGTGGGTCCAGTTCAGGATGTGCAGAGGCAGAAAGGTGGACCTCCTTCCTTATCTCCCGTAAACATTTGCGGGAAGGAGGAGGATGTGCACTGGTTTATTGACTTGTTTCATGCAGCCTGATCTTACTCGCCGTGTTGTAGCCCGGCTTAGCCCGGAGTTATTTTTAGTAGAAACCCTGTCAACCAAGCTACATTCCTTCTTAAAAAGGGAACTTCACAGATTTAGCATCGCACTCCCTTAAACACATTAAAAACAAACCAAAACATGCAGCAACGACGACGGTTCGGTCATAGACCAAGGTGGTTTATGCAAGCGGGACATATTTCATGTTGTGTCGATGCTTGGGTGCTTAGAGGATCCCACCTGTACATGAAAGGTGCGACCGTGGCCGTGTTGGGGTGGCTGTGGTGCTGTTGGGTCTGAGGTAGCTGCACGCTGATGGTGTTGCTGGCGGTGCTCTGCGTCGTGCCTCCTCCCGCCACGGGGGAGGCGCTGGCCTTTCCCTCTGTGGACGCCAGGCTGGAGGTAGAGCTGGAGTGTCTGCTGTCCCGGTCCCGGTCCCGGTCCAGGGGGCCGCGGTGCATGGCCAGCCGCATGCTGCGAGGCCTCTCCCCCACCTCCTTTCCTGAGGAAGCTTTCCCGCCGACTCCCGGGGCTTTGCCTCCTGGCTTTGGTATTCCGCTGTGTGCAGGGGTGGAGCTCTCCTTTTTGGCCGCCTTACCCCCCTTGGGGATGAAGCTCGTGATTTTGGAGGTCCTTTTGTTTGCGCTGTCCGTGTCCACGGCGACGGGAGCCACTTCCTCCTTAAGCTCGTCCCCCCTGAGCTCCGTCCGGTCGGGGACCGAGATGCGCTTCCCCACCTCCTTCCCTTTCTCCTTCCCCTTCTCCTTGTCTTTCTCTGTGCTTTTGACGGAGCCCTTCTTGGCAGTCAGAGCTCTGCTGAAAGTGCGCTGGGCGATGCCCCTGAGGGCGATCTTGGGGCTGCTGGCGGTTGTGGAGACGGTCGTACCTGCCGAGGGAGGGGCGGCGTAGGACGTCCCGTTGCTGGTGCCGTTCACCCCCGGCCGGACGTTGCCATCTTCTTCCTCCAGGGGCTCGGTGTTGGAGCCAGCCTCGGCCCTCTCCACCTGCGCGGCCGCCAGCTGCCTGGCTGGGGCGCCGCCGTCGGTCTGCGCCGCTGCTCCAGTGGAGGCTGTGGAAGATTTGGAGCCCCCTTTACTGTTGAAGAGCTTAAGCTTCTCCAGCATTGACCTCTGAGCGACAACCTTTGGGGGAGCTTCAGCCCTGCAGGAGGCGTCCTTCTCCTGCTTGACGGACATCACGGCCGAGGCGGGGCTGCTGGTGGAGGAGGGAGAAGGGGAGATGTGCTTCGCGCTCACTGACTTGCTCCTCCAGGGCTTGCCGCTGCTGTTGGGCTGGGGAATGGCCGTGGAAGAGGAGGATGAGGACAGCGAAGACGGGGGAGGGATCTGGGTGGAGGTAGCGGCGGGGATGCTGGTGGAGGCGCTGACGGTCACTGCAGATGAAGGAGGATGCTCAGTCATCGCCGAAGGCTGGGACGTCTTGCCCTCTGAGGAATCTGCACCAGAAAAGACAAATTGGATTGCAGGATGAGATAGGGAGGTACAGTTGTGCAGGAAAAGTCGAGCACATCTGGGGGGGGAGAAGAGAACAAGATGATGAGAGTCTCGACTGACCCCACACAAAGAGGCCTTATAAGGCCCTGCAGGTGGCCTGCGTTGATGCAGCCAAACCTGCTATTACTTTCCATCGGGCGAGCCACCAAAACTGTTAAAAACCCTGCAGCACTAACAATGAGAGGAGCCCATCACAAACTGTTTATAAAAACAATGAGCAGCAGGCACAAGTGCTTTAAACTCCTGCCAAGCAGGCCGAGTAAAGAAACAGTGCCGCTGCACTTATAAGGCTCGGACTTACATGGGCTGCTTTTGGTCCGCTTCCCTCGGCGTTACAAAGACACGTTGTCTGGCTACGTCTGGTTACATGCGCTCAGTGCCTTGATAATTAGATTCATAAACGGTGTAAAAGAATACAGTTTAACTGCAATCTGAAAACAATAAGTAGGAAGCTCTTTTTCCAATGCAAAAACGCTCCCGTCCGCCACCGTTTGAATATATGAAATCCAAAAATCGAATTGTCTGGGTAAATCTGCGACAAAGTGACTCGGCAGCATCTCAACAGGCAGACTTACCAAGAGCCGAAGGAGTGAGAGAAGAGAGGACGTTCCTGTCGTAACTCACTGCTCCTACTAAGAAAGCTTCAGTGTCCTGAGCTGCCGAGGTTCAAGTCAACGCAGACGGGCTACTAGCTGCACGTTGAGTTCAGATCAGTAACATTTGAATATTCAAACACCAACGGCCAGTGATAGTGAGAGAGGGAGAGAGAGGGCCTCTGCAGGCCGCACTGGGAGGAATTAATCATAACAGTTCCACTACAACCACCCCCCCCAACACACACACAGACTCATATTTATTACAAGTCACTCCTGTGTTTTGGTTTCTCATACGAGTGGAGTCCCCTTAGACCTACGGGGATTTAGCTTCTTGACACGCCGCAAGATTGAAAAAAAAAAACATGTTGTATATATTATTAAACAGGGGGACAACAAATGTTAGAAAGGTTATAAGCGTTTTAGTCTCACGATAAGCCAAATAAAATAAAATGTAAAGTAAAACAAATTTGTAATTGTGATCAAATAAAATAAAATCACGGGTTGTACAATGAAGAGTTCCCTTCAATTCATACCAGCTAAACTCATTCCACATTCAAATGCTATTCATGGGGTCTAATAAAGTCCCCATTTACACAGAGTATTAAACACTCCACCGCCTTGTTTACCACTTTCTCATGTGGCTCATTTTACACCACCTTCCATGTGCCTAGTTGGAACTAAGCACTTAGTTCTAAGCTCTCCGGCTCTCCCTTCTCCCCCCGTTGAGCATTTAGCCAGCGAATTCTAAAACGATGCAGCCATCAGGAAGTGATTACAGCCCAATTAGCTGTGCTAGCAGTTAGCAATCGGAAAAGTGGGTCAGGTTGCTAATAGCTGGCGTCCTATTGGAGGACGCGTTGTGATTCCGGAGCGGGCAGCAGGGAGAAAAAGGGGACTGCAGGTTGGGGATGAGTGAAGCTTTCGTGTGGGACCAGCAGGACGATCCGTGCAGTCTGTGAATGGGGTCATTGGGGGGGGTCAGAAAGGAACGGAAGAAGAAAGGCAGGACATGGAGAGGCCCTGGACACTGTGGGGACAGCTGGTCGTTGTCATGGCTGCACCCGTTGACCGGGACAGATACGCTCCAGTTGGGTTGCCGCGGCTGAGGGCCAGAGGCCATTCTTCAACGCGTTGGGTCAGAAGTGACACAAGACCGATGGACTTGGACACTGTTGCATCACAAACACCACCAAGGTTTTCAGACCAGGATCCACACTCGGGCCCCTCTCAGATAAACAGAAAGGCCAAACTCGGATAAAGCAACAAACGTTGGTGATCTTTAAATGAGGCCAAGTAAGCTTAAAGCCTTATAAATAAAAAGTAAAGGTTCTGATCACAGATTGCCACTGTGGCTTTTTTCCAATGGTTTTCAAACATCAGCACAATATGCACTTAGTCATTTACCCAACGACCCGTCGTGTGCAGCCTTGGGCCAAAATCCTGGAATTAATCTCTAAAGTGCCCCTCTTTCCCAGTGCCGGTCGAGCTGCCTGCTTGAGGAAACATGTTGGAAGAATTTCAGCGTTTACCACTCAACTGGTTAATTACGGCGGCCATTACAGAATAAAATCCACAGCGGAAAATGACGGCCGTGGAGTGCCCAAAGGGGCAAAGGGTCACAGACCCGCGCTGCACTTCCTGTGGGCCATTAAAACCTGTCTCACCCTCCCTGATCGGTCTCATGCGCTGCCTGCTGCTTCACAGACCCTCCTGATAACATCCAGGCATTTTGGGAAATGAGCCGAAGTGGACCCGAAACTCGTTTCACGGATCGTCACACTCGTGTGTCCGTGCGAGCGCTCCTTTGTGTTAATGCCCGACTACAGCCGAGGAAGACTGACTGCATGCGTGTGTGTGTGTTCAAATCTCTGTGCATGCGTGTCAGATTTAGGAGCGAGGGGGATGTTTGTTCAGCTCAGCAACTTTAAACGCCGACCAGTGACCGGAGCACATTCAGTGCAGTGTGACCACTTGCACATCACACGAGGCGAGCAGTGACCCTGTGAGATGGAGCGTCGGTCGCCGGTAGACACCACAAGCACTTCGGAGCAACCCCTCTCAGGGCCACAGGACATGAACCTTTTCAGTCGGTCAGTGACGGAATTGGCTGAGCTGAAAATGTCCTTCTTATGGACAAGTGAGGGTGTTTTGGGGTCCAGGGATGACCTCCGACTGATTTGCAAACTCCAGCAAACTTCTCAGTTTGAGAATGCAGGTGTATGCTTACTCGTCAGGTTCTGATTTCCGAAGCCTTCTGTCTCTCTCTTTCCGTCTCTCTCCCTCCCCCCTCTCAGGCATTGTGCTCCAAAAAGTGAGAGGGACAGCCGGCTTTTGTGCGGAGGCCGACACTTTTTAAAGTTTCTCCACATGAATACACTCAAACAGTGACGCCGCGGCTCATCAGAAGGCCATTCATTCTGCAAAGGCCCCCGCCATAAAGAAACACAAACACACACACACACACACACACACACACACAGACAGAAACACACACACAGACAGAAACACATAGACAACAGGGAGCGCGCACATAAACGAACACCCTGCCACAGGTGCAGCCCCCGGCTCGCTCTGCTCCGTGTCACTTGGTGGACACCGAGACGTTGTCACCTTGTGTTAGCGCAGAGCAGGAGAGAAGATTCAGGTCCGTCTGCTTACTGTACAATGACTCCTTTCTCGTGTCGGGGCCATTGACGCAAAGCCGATCCGGCCTCACAAAAGAAGCCGCAGGGGCACCTCTGACCATCCGACCATGCAGCAACACAGTCTCACAACATGCATGTATGGTTGTGTAATGGGTTCCGGATAAGTGCACAACATGCATCTTTGAGGCAAAACACTAAACCGGGAAATCAGCCGGACGCCGACAGATTTTTAAAATTCTAAATCAGGGTCAGTTTCAAACCACTGGAGCAAGAAGTTAACCACTAAGTACTCAATATCGTTTCAACCAAGTTCTTTACAAAAAGTTTGTGTCAACTGACAAAAAAACCTTCTGCTAAGCTTTCCGTAGCATCAAATATGTACATACTGTAGCATCTATAACAACAAAACAGACTAAATCCGCTTCCATACATTCAAAGTTTACATGCAACGCTCAAAGTCCACATCTGAAACTATAAGCTGTCATACTAGCTTAAGGCAGTCTGTAAGTGTGAGCTGACAAACCTCATCGGTGCTGCAGACCTCCGGGAGGAAAAGAGAAAGATGGAAAAGAGAAGAGGAGATGGACAAGAGAGGAGAGAAGACTCCCAAACCACGGGCCAGCAATGCAGAGAGTGCAGGAGGGGGAGGAGGGGGAGGAGGAGGAGGAGGGCGTCACGGCAGGGGGGGCGGGACATTACAGCATGTCAACAACAAATCAAGAAGGACGGGGCGTCGATAAGTGATTGTCAAACTTGCTGCTGCCAATCAGATGATATTCTGTTCCCAAACACACAGATACACAGTTTCACACATGCATGGCAGGATGGTACATTTACTTTCCTAATGTAAACTAAAACATATATTTTTTTCCAGATAGACTTTGCAGACAAATGGCCACGCGCTAACCTGGTGATATTAATTAAAGCGCCGTTAGCGCTGCTGGCGTTGTTAGCTTCTAGCTGCTGGCTCAGCCACCACCGTGTTTGTGAGCCATGCAGATGCAATAGATGCAAAATGCCTTAAAGGAGCCCTTCAACATTCTGGAAAATATATAATACTTATTTCATTTCAAGCCAGTGTTATAATTCTACGATTGATCAATCTGAATCTACAGCCAGTAGGTTTGACTAATCACAAAGCAGCCCGAGACACGGTGACATCATCACTAGCGCGGCCAAAGAATAGTCCGGTACAAAAATGTATAAAATCACAACCTGTACCTTGTTTATTTAATCTTTGTATGGATTAAACAAACCAAATGCAACGTCTTGTTTCCTTCTTCCCAAGCGTAGCCAGCTAATGGCTTCTCATTGGGCTGCCAAAATGTCGTACTATTCCTTTAACACGACCACGGAGAAAACGACCTACGGATATCATGCAAAGACACACAGAAACACAACACTGAAACGCCCCCAACGGAGGCATCAGAATAAGTGGTTGACGGTTCTGTTCCCAGTTATTAGGTCACACACACACACAGGCTTTCTCTCAGTGTGTGGCTCTCCCTCTCTAGGCGGTCAGACCTCTCTGTGTAACGCAGGGTAATGAGTTTAGACTGAGAACACTAACACAGTCTATATAAAGCCTCGGCCTCCCGAGTTGTGACAACGCCGCTCTAACTGAACATACTGCCAAACGCCCTCACAAGTTTGTCTGCTGCAGAACTCAAACACTGGGCACATCTTATGACACTATGCAATAATTCCCAGGCGGTCACCTCACCTTAAACCTGCGACAACGTCCTTAAAAGAGTCAGAAAACACAGCTGCAAGGACAGACTTTCTTCCCTACTAACAGTCACTAAGCTGGAAGCTTGTTGTAGAAAAGGAGAACCAAACGCTCTCCCCTCCTTGTGACGTCAAACAAACGGGTTAGGTAACTGAAGTGACCTGTCGGACCTTCTTTTGTCCTAAATGCAACTGAGCAAACTTGCATTTTTCCCCTAAACAAAAGCACCCAACGGAGTAGATCCACACTCAGCATTGACGTCTCTAAGAGCTGCAGGGTCGCCGTCTCCTTCCTCCTCTTACCTTTGTTCAGCTGTGAGTTGGCTTTGGTCTTGTCACTGAAGCCCTGGCTGCGTCTGTTCCCAGCGGCGCTGACCGAGCCTCTTGGAGGGACGTCCCCGCCGGCGGTGGACACCCTCGCCGAGGGGCCGGGAAGTCTGAGCGAAGGGAGAGAGAAGCGATGAAGGGAGAATAGCGTCAGCATAAAGCCTTCGACTCGGCAAGTGGAAGCACGCACATTTGTTTAATGGGGGCCTGGCACAGCCTACAGCGGCTGAATCCAACAGGAGCATACCGCGTTAACATGTACGAGGGAACAGGTCAGAGCGGCACAAGCCTGTTCCGCGTGGTACTGAATAGCACAATGTGCCGTCTAAAAAACAGCAGGTAAACACCTGCAAAGAGTTTCAGGCAGAGGCAACTGTTTAGAGGGTTTAAAAAGCCTCCCAGAAATGATCGTCGTCACGCTGGCTATTTTAATTCCCGCCAAGAAGATTAGCGAGAGGCCACAGACTGTTGGTGTGAGTTTATTTTGCCTCCATGAATGCACCTAGAGCTCACAGCAGCATGGACGTCTCCGAGTGGGTCGGACAGGATGACGGGTCCTGGGGGGGGGGGGGGCACCTTGATTCCATATTGTGCCTCGATCTGTTGCCTCGTTCTATCAGCCGGGCTGTAATCTGACCAAGCCGTGCCACAAAGTCGGCTAATGAAATGCTAATTCACAGGCCGGCGACGTCATCATCATCATCACCATCACCCTGGGACTGTGAGACGGATGCTGATAAGCAGATCACAACTCTCTCAGATTTTGTGTACATTATTAAAACGGTCATTTCCGGCATACCATTCACTTCGACTGCCAGTTCATTATCCGGCCATCGCGAGGAAATGGGTTTAACCACATTATTTAGTTGAGAGCAGGATCATTTGGCTTTCAATTATGGCTGTTAGTGTACTGCCTTCCCCTTTGGATAGGGCCGCGTATAAAATACATTATCTATGTAGTAGAAATATATGTTTAATATGGGCTACAATGGGTCAAAACCTGGACATGGGTTCTATTGTCAAATACAGGGAAAAGGGAAAAAGGTGGAGGCTTACAAACAAACTGAGGTATTTATTAAAAAAAAGTATTGCAAATGTCAGAGTGAGGAATAATTTTGCACATGTGAGATGCATTGCTCCGTCTTCCACTTGCAAAACGGGGTCTTAAAAGAAAGGAAAAGTGTTCTTGGGGGGAGGCGAGCACCAGGAAGAGCTCGGCTCTCCATCTTGTAGATACACATGCTGACCAGAAGGTGGCGCCGTTGCATTGCTTTGGATAAGGAGCCGGTGTGGGGCAGGTGCAATGAAAGCGGAATCTGGGATGGGCAGCATGCAAAACCTCGTCCTAAATCCAATTTCGAGGTAAATCGTCACATAACACGACACCGCATGCCGGAAAAGAGGCAAAAAGGTGAGTCCAGACGGAAGTTACAATCCAACGACATCTCAGAGCGCGGCACATACCAGCCACGGATTCTTTCTATGTTAATTATTAATGTCACATCACATGGGGGATGTGCTTGTCAAGCAAACACACACACACACACACACACACACACACACACACACACACACACACACACACACACACAGACTTAAGGGTTATCTAAAGGTCTTTCACAGCCCATTTAGCCGGCTTGGCCTGGAGGTTTAGTTCCAATCTGCTCAACCCCACCACTCATGCATATTAGATACTGCTTGTGGTAGAGGTTGCCCTTAATCACAGACAAAGAAACAACGTGAAACTCGTTGCACTACGAAGGAGACATTATCCTTGATTAGGGGCAATTTCTACTTCCTATTTCCAGGAAAGGCGTAGGGGCGGAGGGTGTGGAGGAGGTGGAAAGAGAGGGAGGAGCAAGGAAACCGAAAGGCCGAAGAAGCTGACCTAGAGGTCTTTTTCTGACCAAGGGAAAACTTGAGCAGTTTACTCTGAGAGCCATCCCTAGAGGAAAAGAGAAGAGACACATGGAAGAGGACAGAGAGGTCAGGCTTACAGTAATAAATGACAAGAGGTGTGAACAGGAGGACAGAGATGACAACATGACGGATAACAACAGCAGAAGCAGCAGGAAAAGGGACGAATGTGACAGAACCCATTCACCCAGTTTCAAGGTTATGCCTGCCGCTCGGCGCTCACCTGGACTGCATCTCGGCCTGTGCTGCTTTCTGGGCTGCAGTCCCATGCGTAGAGTGGCCGAGCAGGGCCGGGGCGCTGCTCTGCTGGCTCAGGGGAGGGTGCGTGCCCTGCGTCCGGGCGCCGGGTGGAAGGGAGGGCTGCGACTTCTGCCGCTGGGCGTGATGATGCTGCTGCTGCTGCTGCTGCTGCTGCTGCTGCTGCTTGTAGCGGGACAAGCTGAAGAAGAGGCCGAGGATGGCTTTCAGATTACCATTCCGGATCTCTGCGGGTCAGAAATAGGTTGCTTCAGCCATGCACAATGACAGCTGTAGTAGCGTTCTTTGCAGGGAAAAGGAAGATAATAGGCTTCTACTGGCTGTTTTGGTCTTTTCATCGTGTTTATTCTGATGACAGCAAATGTATTCATCGCTTGTTCAATTTTATTTAGACAGTGTAGTTAACAGTAACGAACCTAAATCACCGTCCAGCCCACTGTCATGTCCGTCCCTGCTGTTCCATATTTCATGTTTAATTCCGCAGCCATTTTACTTAATGTTTGCAAGATATAACCTGACTTGGCAGCTCCCTCGTTTGGTGTCAACTCAACCAATACAATGAGTTACGCTTGGTGTCATCTACTGCTGCCTTTGTTTCTGACTTGCATTCGTTCTTGGACACATTGGAAGTCTGGAGAAAATACTTGAGAACATGTACTCTGGCTGGTTAACGTCTTCATGCCATTAGGGGACGCTCATTCACTGTTCTCTGTGGATGCAAACGTATAAGCCAACATCTATCGCTACATTTAAAAGCTGCATCATTGTGGTACTTTTTGGCCCATCAGCCTCGTGCTTTTAATGTCTGCCGTCCGGCATTTATGCAGTGTGTCCTGGCAAAAGAGCTTTCCAATAAAAATGCTTCGCTTTGTTATTTTGGGGCCACCGCTCCGGTTCCAGGGAAAGCAGGAGTGCGGGAGTCCACCGTACCCTCTGAAGACAGTCCCTGGATGTTGACTCCTTTGGCTGCCAGGAAACTGAGGCAGGCGTCGATGTTCTCAATCTGGACAGAGAGACAGACACAGCTGTGAGACAATGCCCCGGTGCATTTCCATTACGATTTGCATATTTGTGTAATGTGAGGAAGCATGCCGGTCTTTTGCACGCTTCTCCTAAAAGATAGACATCACCATGAAAGCTTATGAGTTAAATGATCAACCCTAATCAATAGTATTGTCCCCCCTTTCCTCGGTATGTTATTTTTAGACTCACAGCCATAAAAAAAACACATTTGTGGTGACTGACGTGTTCATGTCCCGCTGTGCAGAGATAAATCGGCAAAACGCGATTCAAACCAAGCAGTCGTTTGTCAGCAGAGCCGACCGCGGCTAAACCATCGATACGGATACAGCCGCTCCGGTTGTCATGACGGCAGCCATGGCAACCTGGAGCAGACTGCTGAGCTGTCACCGGACCGCGAGAGGATTTGATAGGCAGACGGGCTTTGTTTGGAGCCCGTGGGACCCATTATGCGGCGAGTGTGCTGAGCTGGCACACGCAATCACAAAGTAAACCACATAAAACAATTCATCAGGCCGAGTCACGGTGGATTAATGACGCGCGATCAAAGTTTACCAACTGTTGTTCTCGATGAGCAAACACACTAGGTACGGCACAGAAGATATCTCTCTGGCACGGCCGATGCTCTGACGGTAAAGTGGCACTCGAGGAAAGGCAATTTATTGAGGAATCGAGTGAGAAGGGCACTTAAAAGCATTTTACAGTATGCAAAAGGGTTAAAGAGGTGCTAAATCTTTTTTTACACAACATTTATTGCCAGTGAAAGTAGGTTTATATCTAATCTGACACAATGCACGGACAACAAACACCTTTTGAAGGTTTAACAGTTTAAATATAATCTCCTTTCTCAACAAAAATCTTTTGTCTGTAAATGAGGCCGCATGAACGGCATGATTACACTTAATGCGCGGAGACTAAATATAGCCTGACCTACAGCTCTCTCTGTGACTCTCCTGATGGGAAGCATCTGACTGTGAGGTGAGAAGCCGAATTTAAAAACTCATCTGCATCGGCCTCCATTGCAACACGGTAACATTTGATTCATTAAAACACATGAGCCACTCCATCATTGTCACGGCTTCCATTATTCCTCTAGAACTTAGACTATTTACATCCCCACACTAGCTACAAGTATCAGTGTCAGTTGTATATATGCCTCATATCAGTGGGGTGGTTCTGTTTTAAAACAGCAGTGCTGCCCTTGCTGTCATGTCCGTGACCTCTGACCCCACAAACAGCTGTCAAAGGGGCCGACATATGTTGCCCTTTGAGGTGATACAGCAGAAAACGTGGCAACGGTGGGAATGCAGAGTGTGGCCCTCTCTCTGGATGCCACAGACTCTTTAAAAATAAACCTTTCTGAAATACCCCAGCGTGCCCGTCCACATACCCAGAGGCTTAAGCTTTCGCCTGAGTGACTGAACCAGTCCTCTTCTGGAACGCAGTCCTGGTATAGATGGCAGTTTAAATAGCAGCCGCCTGCAGAAAATATGCTTCATTAATAAGATACCCTATCACAAATGCCAGGCTCGCCCCCTGCGGAGATGCTCCCAAGCCCCGCCTCTCATGGACACATACTGAAAGCTCATTTACCATTTAAAACATGCTGGGACCGGATCTCAGAGAAGATGAGCAGTGTTCAGCTCGTCAGCCGCCTCCCCCCCGCGCGTCACTGTATAGGTCAGTGTAAAAGTCACATCTTTGTGCGGGAGACGCTGTGGTGGCCGAATTATAAGCAGGTCGACGTTATCCGTCCCCTTCCTCACCTCTCCACTCGGCCATTTTTCTCCTTTTAATCCCGACCCCGACTAGAGGAAACTTGATTCATGTATTGAAAGCTTTTATTAATTTGACCGTTAATTGACCGCTTCTGAAAAGTGACTTAACATTCTATCGAGTCAGGACTCACACACAGATATCCGTTCTCCTCTTTAACAGCACGTTAAATCGAGCACATTTTGACTTTTGAACAAAATAAACTAGTTGAAAGTGTCAGTTTAGGTTCATGCAATATACCTACATTATTCTGTCATTATTTATTGTCATTCCAGAATTATCAATTGTGTAAAACAATCATTAACTTTTAATCAACAACGGCGATTACTGACCGATTGAGTGTGGAAACATTTGAAGAAGAACGCTGAAGAGAATTCTCTCATAAGAAGAAAGCACCTCCAACTAATCCCAGAGAGACTTTAGCATCAAGCGCTCCGGAGCCCTGCAGGAATCCTCTGGTAGCTCCTACCTGCCTGCGTGTGTGATCGGCAGCCGTCTGGCCAACAAACAACCTCTGAGCACGCTGATGTTGTGTGTGTGTGTGTGTGTGTGTGTGTGTGTGTGAGAAACACTGAAAGAGAGAGAGTGTGGGCTGGAGGGAGGGAGGGAGGGAGGGAGTGTTACGTATCTGACTGAGCTTTTGAAGACTTATACTGAGGTTGATTATTTCTAAAAAAGAATGAGTTATCAGCACTGCTGATACTTATCTTTTAAGTAGTTTAATATGGAAATGTCATTATCTAGATTGATAACGGGTGTTTAAGCAGTTCTGTAACCACAACACCACACCTGCTCCATGCCAGGTGAAGCACTAAACATCTGTCGAATGAAGAGTCTGCCGCAACTATCGGCCCTCCGTGTGAGGACGAGGGCCTCGCCGCCACAAAGCTCTCCACCGGTTGACTCTCCGCCTGCCGGGTCGCGCGGAGTCCGATCACGTAAGGCGACAACGGGCCCGTCAGTGTGCAGGTGTGTGTCCGTACGAGTGTGTGGCTGAATGCGTCGGCCCACGCGGTCACTTTCACCGATTACTGCTACCGGCTCACCTGCCGGACTCACGATGAATGACGAACGCGTTCTCTTTGGAACTGAGACGTGCATGCAGAGGTTTTACGCTCCTTATCGATACAAGATGACGCACCGGCAGCCAGAACGCACACATCATGATGCAAAAGTCACACAAGTCAACGGCTTGGAAGCGGATTCTCGCATGTTGTCTTTGGCTCATTTATTTGTTATTTTTATGCACGCTATGGTGTTATGGTCACGGATTGTATTTCCACATTGAATTCTGGGCATTTGCATATTTGTTGTCGATATCGGCTCGTGAAATATATTTGTATTAGCGTACTGTTACGTTAGCTTTAGAGTCTACTTCCAAAAATAAAAAGAAAGAAAAACCTCTGGCTGCATTCACATTTCCCCAATGAACCCATTCCATCACACAATGAAAGCAAAGCTGCTTTAGTTTTTACACTTTTGTGGGTTGTTTTTGCTTTTTAAGAAGAATTTCTTTTAATTTGAAAGAGGTTGATTTTGTCGCCCAAAGGCAGAAGCTTCTGGAATACAGAACTTATGAATGGACTAACTGTTAATGCAAGCAGATGACTCACTGATGCAACACACGAGCGCGGTATGTCCCGGCGTACAACGGGGTGGACAAAATAACAAGAACGCCTTACTGGCATCTTGTGATCACAAGTCACACGGAAACATGGCAGCTCGTGTTGTTCCCTCGGTTCTTTGCCATCTGATTAAGGTTTGACGTTTGGTGTATTTGGTTTCTGTGATTGTTCTGCGGGTGTGATCACTGTATGGTATTTATCTGAATATACCACAAACACACACAGGAAGTGCCGCTCCCTGTGATCAAACATTTACCAGCACATTGAATCATTAATAAAACATATTTGGCGACGCAGACTCTGATCTGTGAGATCGTTTTAAGTGGCACCGCGTTCGAACGTGGAACACAAACTGGAATATCCACGAAACACTTCAAATAATCACTGAAATTGAGCAAAGAGCCCGACATCCAGGGTCCTAAAGGAAACCAAATGAAGACAAATCCTAAATAACCCCTTTTCAGTAAAAAACACATTTTGACAATGGTCCAAATTAGAGTAAATGATAAAACTGTTTTATTAAGACATCCGTGCTTAGATAAGAAAACAAACTTCTTTTTCTGCAGCTAACCTGGTTAAATTTATTTTTTTTAGAAGCTTTAACATCTTTAAAGCTTTAAATGCTTGGACGAGACTTTCTGTGTGTGTGTGTGTGTGTGTGTGTGTTTCTCTGTGAGCATTTCCTCCTGTGTGGTTTTAACAGCTCAGTGTCAACTCAACACTGTCGCTCTAGGATGAAACTACACAGGCACACAGACACAAAACCACACAGGAGCCCGTCTGAGCGGGGGGGGGGGGGGGCGCGGCGGAAAGACCCGGCGAAGGGGGTCCCTTTAAAAAGAATGTGAAAGTTGTAAAAAAAAACCTCCCCCCTCCGGCCTGCGTAGCCAGCACGGTGATCCGCCAGCGCGAGAGTGATGTCACTGATGGAGCTTCATTTCCGTGTTTACTCGTTTGGAGACGGAGCTTAAGTTAAGTGGTGGTAATTGGCGAGAGCGTTGCAAGCTTTGAAAGCGATGAAATCAAGTGCAGCGAGAGTGGGCTCTCATACTCAAGTCTCAGGACCAGTGTGTGTACATGTGTGTGTGTGTGCATGTGTTTGTTTTGACAGTACAACAACACACAAAGCACACATTTGCATAAAGATTGCGGTTGCACCTGCCCTGAGCACCGCATGACTGCAGAATATTTTGCTTTAAAGCCAACAAATCTGCGCACACACACACACACACACACACACACACACACACACACACTGCAACATCTGAGCTTATCAAAGAAAAATAAAAGCAGATTATTCCCCCTCTTGACTGACACACACAGCGTCTATGAACAGTCAGACTACTTTCCATTGTACGGTCTTTAAAAGAGAAGAAGCTGCTGTGTTTGCAGATGACAACGGGGCTGAGAGGCGACACAGGATGTTAATAACAGAGAGAGCCCCCCTCGATCGCAGAGACCAAAGGGTGCAATTACAGGCGAGCGGGGGGGCGTAATCAACGCTAAGGGGTAAAGGCTTAACAGGAAGTGGAGAAAGGGGGGGAACTATTTTAAAATGTAACTTAGTGCAGGTTGACTTCATAAAATCACCATTCTGACCAACAGCTCACAGGTTTCATCATCATCATCATCATATAGGATCTTATCACGGACAAAACTTTTACAATAAAGTGACTATTTTTTATACCTCAGTAGAATCACGTTGCCATGTATTCACTCTGGGACAGTTTACATTACAGGTCATTACGCTTTTATCCAAAACAACTTACATCACATTTTTAACCCATGGCTTTTTACATTTTTGCCCGGGGAGCAATTAGGGGTTAAGTGTCTTGCTCAGGGACACCAGGACTCAAACCGCCACCCAGCGCACCCTCTCTACCTCTGCGCCACGACGACCCCAGATAATGAAAGTAAATGTAAGAAAGACGATTAGAAGCTGCATTATTAGTGAGGTGTGGTTAATTAACTCCCGTTAAATTACGAATGCAAAGTTTTGGTCGGATGATTCTCATCAGGCATTCATTTCTACACCTTCTTATTCTATTTGACCTCTCATAATATTATAAACTTTTTATCACTTTAGCCACATTTTAAAAAAGGGGAATTTTACATAACTCTTATAGACGTTACTAACTCAACTTGGTGGAAAAAGGAAACAATGGAATTGTGAACACAGAGCACTTCATACTACTACGGAATGAAGAAGGAGGTCCTCGTTAGCATAGCATGATGCTACCATGTTTGCTATAAAGAGGAAGGCTGTGCTTCAGCCTCCTCCCACGTTGTTAACTATGGCCGCGTATGTCTCTCTCTCATTCTCTCTCTCTCTGGTGCTTTGAGAGGCTTTAGTAGTCTGGCCGGTGGCCAAAAATAGCCCCCCCCAGCTGGCACACTGTCCCAATTTACCACCGCTTCACATTCAGCGGCGGGGCAGCGTCGACTCATTTCCCCACAGAGCCGCCGAAAACTGGGTGAGCACGGGAATCCCACCAGCGGCGTGACAAAGGAAACCCCACTCACACATGTGCTAAACGTCACCAAGGACGAAGATCCCACCGTAGCGGTCTGCGAAGCTGATGCCCCCCGCCTCCCCCTCTCTCTCTCCCCCGCTCTCCACAAGCGTAACTGGACGAGGCAAAACTGGCCCCAAAGCCGGAGCCCGCGATGCTTTCAACCGAGAGCCAACTGCCAGAAGTCTGAGCCAGAGGTTTTTACGGACGGCGGGCCGCGAGACCACAAAAGTAAAAATAAATGGGCTGACTGTTCGCCGCCGAAAGGGCCCACATGAGGACATCAGAGAAGGGCTCGCCACACGGAGGTAAGTATTCACCGCGCGGGGGCCAGAAACAAACCGAGAAGGTCACTCACCATCTGAGAGCGGCTCTTGGGACAGCCGTTGATGTCGCCAATCCTCTCGTTGGCTGCGGGGGGACAGAAAGAGGAGGCAGAGACAGAGAGGGGGAGAAAGACGGAATGAAAACAGTCTCCGGGCGTTTTCGGTTGATGTAACCCTCTCTTTTATTTCCAGTGGAGATCCCTGAGTGTGTGTGTGTGTGTCCCAGACGATCGCCCGGGCCCGAGTGAGGAGAGCTGAGGTGTTCACGCCGGTGACTATGACCCCTCCTCATCTCCTCCCACTGAGGCATGAAACACTATCTGGCCACAGCAAATGGGAACGAGGCCGCTGGGGGCCCCGACGGAGATGTGTGCCCTGCAAAGCGTGTGTGTGTGTGTGTGTTAAGGATTCCTCCCATCTATTAGAGGCCCGGCCCAGAGCAGCTGAGACCCGACCGTCAGCTGCACCGACAGACCGGCCTCCTGCACCAGGAGGCCCAGCGGGGCCCCCCGGTGCAGCTCCGTCTCGGGACCACGTACCTGGGCACCAGCCCTTCACTTTGGATTGTGACAAACAAACAAAGCCATGTTGACTTGTGACAGGCTCCATTTGTCACATCGTCAGCGAGCAAACAGACAGCAGTCTTCTGTTCACTGATTCCGCTTCAAATGATTCAAGTTTAAACACGTTTGAAAATGTGGGGAACAAATCAATAAATGATCCAATTAAAACACGTCAAATACATTTTAGTTGGGAAAATCCCTGCTTTAGAAAGTAGCTTTCTGAGAGTAGACACAGATTTAGTTTCCTGATTAGAAAAAAATTCGAAAAAAGAGATTTAACTCTCCATTTAACTGACTTGGCAGCAGCACTCAAACTATTTTATAAATATCTTTACAGTCTGTGTTTTTTTTTTTTTTCTTATTTTGTAAAATAACTTTCTTGTACTGTCATCGGTAGTAAAGTAAAAGTAAAAGTTAAAGTAAAGCTCTACTTTATGAACAACATGAAGAGGAGAATTTAAAGGCTTTGATGAGTCCTGGAAAACAATACTAAAAACTACAGCTTCATCAAGCACAGCTCGGTTACATAGTGTACAAAGAAGCAAGTGACAAGGGAAATATCCTCATGGGTCACAAATCGGGCTCAAGCTCAGTTCCCGAGGTGCCGACCTCGAGTGCGAGACGGTCAAACCGCTCCACGCATCCGTGTCACATCCGGTTCCAGCGCGTCTGTCCGCACACCGGCGGGCTGCTCCGGTTTCACCGGAGATTCCACGTGTGGGGGATTTCTCCCCCAGCGGAGGGGAGGCAGAAAGGGAGAGCCGGTGGACGGCTAGTTTTAACACGAGATCGGAGCGTCGGCTTGATGTTAAGACAACGCAAATGAAAGTCATCATGGCGCTGTGGTGAGGACGAGACGCCCCGACTCTCAGAAAAGAATCAGAATGAGAGCAGCGAGGCCGCTCTCCCCACAGGGCATGAGGCGTGAATCTGGGTCAGAGACGATGGGGGGGTGGGGGGGGGCAGGGTCAGCGACATGCTGAGTCACCGGTCAGCTGGTGTCGGGCCGCTTCAGCTCGGAGGCCGTCGGCACGTGAAAGGACAGGCTGAAGGACGCGAGGGATGAGGAGGGAGGCGAGGATGAGGATGGAGAGGAGCAGCCCGCTCGCTCCCAGCATGCACCTGAACACAGTACTGCTTAACTTCTGTATAAACACGTTTAAACTTTAAAATACATGTTAGGCAGTAGGGAAATTAATTCATGCATTTTCTGTTTTAGCATCAGTGCTGCTTTGATGAGCTTCTCTGACATCTTCCTTCATCATTTGGTGTCCTAATATAGTAATTATGCATTTGTTTTAAGGACATTCATACTACTTTCAAATATTTGTAAGCTTTTAGTTGTCTTGCTAAGTGAACAACATCCGCAGTGACGTCATGTGACTGTGGTCCAGTTTGTTTATGTCCGAACGTTAGCGTTTCACTTCTGCCGATTATCTTTCTGAACAAAACGTGTAAGTAGGTAGAAACTTTTGTTTGGCACGGAGCTTTTTTTTCTGCGATAATCCATCATCCAACGGAAAAGTCAGGTTGGTTTTGGTGTTGGCCTACATCCCTGCAGAATCCCACATCACACCAAACCCCTGAGAGGGTTTTTCTGAATGGGATAAGAAAGTTTGTACCATATAATAACCTTGACAACGCTGGAAGGAAGAAAACAATTCAGATATGAATAGAAAACTTTTCAGCGGCGCAATATGAATTCTCTGCACGAGTGACGGCGCCATCATCACATCAGATAACAGAGTCAAAGGGTTTAACATGAACTATCTTGCAAGAGAAAAGATTCTTCCTGGATGATTTTTTACTGTTTGTTATTTTTAAACAAATGCAACCCTCTGTGTATAAAAGTCACGCACTCATCTCGCACTTTGGAGTCAAACGTGTGTTCATCCTTACCTACGACCTGAATGATCTCCGCCAGCAGCACGCCGTCTGCGACGTCCGTCTGCAGGTCCTTGATCAGCCGCTTGTGTCCCGACTTGGCGAGGTAGTGGTTGGCCCAGTCCGTGTAGATCTGCGATCACGCACAAACACAAACCGCGCTGCTCAGTTTTAAGCCGGCGAAAAAAATACAATCCATCCCGGGATGGGGGGGGGAAACCCCGCCGGGTCGCCCACGCGCTTCAAACTCCATAAACACTTGAAAACTACAAAAGCCGGTAAACGGCGGAGGCAAATTTACGGCTCTAATGAAATAACAACATGGTTGAACGGGAGCAGAGTGGCCCTCCTCCTTTTGTTGGGGCTCCGATCTGGCAAACACCGGCGTGGTATTCAAATCGGGGCCATTGTGCTCAGCCGGGGCATTCATCTCGCAGCGCACGGCGGCTGTTTTCAATGGGCCCCGCTGACATCACTCTCTGGGGACAGAAAAGGCCCTTCACTGCCCGGGGGGAGGAGAAGGGGGGCAGATGGGGGGGGGGCAAGCATCTGAATAATCTGAATGGCGCCCTTCATAATTACACGCCAAACTCTCTCGTTTACTCTCTCTCTCTCTCGTGAAGAGGAGTGAGTTTCTATTTTTTTTATGTGATAAATAAAGAAAAAAAGTTGCACAATACATTATTACTACGAGATTATTCTGAGAAACCGATGTCTGTAGAATTCGTCTGGATTTGGTAGCGTTGTCGGGCTTGTCTGTTAACAAGTGTAGCTTCCGAACATGTATTCCTCCCCACAGAGAAGACGTGTGACGCCGCGGCCAAATTAAGACACGACAGCGGAGTCAAACTGAAATTACAATCCATCAATCGGAATGCGTCTTTCTCCACAACTGGACATTAGGTGTCAAATTCTGGCATCTCATTATTATTATAATTACAGCTAAGATAAGCAATAACGAAGCAACAGCTGCAAATAAGAGCGCTAGTTGTATAAATATATAAATCAGGGAGATTTTTTACTACAAGAATCCAAAATCTCATTGGAAAGATCCCATCAGCTTTTTCTAAAGGGAACCAGTGATGCTAATGTCATATAAAAAATAATAAATCCATGCAGCTCTGAATAGGATATGAGACGAGTTCAAGTCACCACCGCGTTAACACTAGAATTCTGTAAATGCTTCCTGCTTAAACTAATCCCGGTGTCGGCTTTCCTGTTGTGCATTAAGACCTTCTCAAGAATCACAGTGAAATCCAAGTTCCTCTGTTGTTCCCCGACGAGCTCAAACCTCAGCACGCACACAAACACACAAGCACGCCCGCAAACAGGCGGTGAGGCGTGTGACACGGTGACCCTTCTCCTTTAAACGGACCCGGTGCACGCCGCTCATCGGATGAGTCACGGGCCTCGTGATGGCGTTCAACAGGTGTGCGCACTTCAAAAGGGTGCATGCAAACACACACGCACACACACACACACGGCTCAGCAGGTTTATGAGAGTGCACGACCACGCGTTAAACGCGGCGTTTAAGCCTCGCGGGCTGCGCGTACCCGAACACCAATGCACGCTCAGAAAAAAGCCTCTTGAGTGACACGCGGAAGCGAGGGAGCTGCGGGGCGGCGAGTAGCCGGCCCGCGGCCTCCGTGCACGCGCTCGGCTGAAAGTGCAACGTGCAGGAGCTTTCGTGTGCGTGCGTGCGTGCGTGTGCTTTCTTTGAAGCAGTTTCGGGCAGGTAAATTGTAGGGTTGCAGTGTAATTAGAATCGAGGTGAAATGGGTAGCTGTCAGTCACAAAGGTGGAACCCACGCAGGTGGGGGGGCGAGGAGGGGGGGACAGACTGAGAGCAAAGGTAAGTTGAGAGGAAAGGAGAAGGAGGAAGTGGGAGCAAGTCCTGACAAATAAACCTTTCAAAAGACGCTTTGCGTCGCTGTCGTCTTCCTCTCAGCCGAAGCATCTAGTCACATGACCTGCTCTGTTTGTACGGGGGAGTTTTGGGCCAAAAACTAGAATAAATAGACAATTGAGAGTGATATCATGGATATTTTTATTAACTTCCTAACACCAAGTAGTTTGGATTCTATCATCAAGTTAACTAAATTATTAAGTATTAATCAAAATGGCATTACTGTGCGCTGCAATAAAACATCTTTTACGTAAGTAAGTATAACGCAAATGAATTATTTGTAAAAATGAATAATTGAGCCATCCAAAGTGATCCGTAACTGGCAGATATGAAGGCCTCTCCAGCACAGAACAACTTTCACATCGTCAGATGTCCATAAATCAAAGACATGCTGCATTCATCCGGATCATGATCAGCCTTTTAACCTCTAAATGGAGCTTCTGAGATCTGAAACTTGTTCAAAGGTCCCAGAAAGACAGAAGGAGACGGGACTGATCTTAGATCTCAACAAGCTGCATGTTCAGTGAAGACGAGCACTTATTGGCTCAATGTCTATCAGACAGGTTTAAGGTGTCACTGACAAGATCAGTCTCTTCGTCAGAGGGAAGATCTCTTCATGATGAATTGAACATTTGATATTTTAATTATGTGAGAAATGGAGCGGATCAGAGGACGAGGTAGAGGCGTAGTGGCGTTTTTACCCCACAGGACAGACAATAAATAATAAGCTCAATGCCGTGGCATCACTCACATCCACATGTCAACGCTGAGTGATCCACATCAAAGAGTCTGATGTTCAACAGCAACATTTTGCAGCAGGGAAAATCCCCCCCACCCCCCCCCCAGAAACTCCCAGTAATCCCGACCCTGTGCTCGTGGACCTTTTTTTAGGAGCAGTAGATCCGTGTCAGGGACATTCCCGCCATCGGGACACTGATTCATTCACACTGAGCGGGCCTGTTGGAGAACGCCATGCAGTCTGTCTCCAGTTGGCCCACTGCTTTGGGGATTTGCACAAAATCTGAGCTTTTTGGGTTTTTTTTAACGCAGAATATTGAAACACGTGTACATTGTTCCGCTACAAAATAAAGACCACATCATGTTCGCTGTTGCTATTTCACATCCAAAGCACCGGAATCACAACTGAGAAGAATCTGAGAGTTATTATTGGCCATTGATTTAATACCCTTAAGACTTAAGACAAAAACAAAGAGGAGTAAACAACAGACCTTCCTGTTGCGTGAAAGCCTGGACCCGTGTTCGTTCATGCTCACATAACAAAGCCCAATTAAAGGCTTCCACACTGACACACAGTGACGAGCGGCGCTGACTCACTCACGCAGACAGCTGTGCCTCTGAAAAACACCAATGTTTCCCCCGCATCCGGCGACCCCCGCTGAGTCACCGCGGCGACGCGCCACGACCCGCAGAGGGGCGTGACGCGCACAGGACGACCCCGCCGAGCAGGGGGTCATCCTGGGTGGACAGAGAGGGCCAGGCCCGGGCCGGGGGGGCCTCCTGCGGGGACCCGTGTCCTTGACTCCGAGCAGAGCAAAGTGAGGTTTTGTGTGGCGCCCGTGAGCTCAGCCCATGGTGGATAGTGGCGGAGGACGACTATGCAGCAGATGTGCTCCTCCACCTTCCTGTGTCACATCACCTCATCTGTTGCACTGACTCGTCGCGTGCTGAGCAAACACAGCAGGGATGTTGACCTGCCCAACTGAATCATCGCTGTTGGGTGAAAAGTTAAGAAGAATCCACTTCATTTTTTACTATGTTGGCTTTTTAAATACTGCTTGTTCAGAGTGAGCGGGACTTTCCCCACGACGTAAAACTACATAGAATCTTAACTACTCAAAATATACAAGTATGGTGACTAAAAATCATGAACATCATGCTGGCTGCTTTAGAATTAAATCGAGCAACAGAACTAGAAAATAAAAAAAAAACACTTTTTGTTGACACTAATTCATCAATTCAACCAGTGGCTGCATTTTGTCACATGACAACATTAAAAGAGACAAACCCGGACCAGGGCTGCTCTCACACACTTCTCCCGTGCCGCGCTTTTCAGAAACAATTCGGTGGATAACTGTGGGACCGTTGGCCTTATTACTTTCGTGGGGCTCAGCGAGCGACCATTACAGCTTTCCACTTAACACGCCGCTACGAGCTAATACGCCGACGCGCGCCAGAACCAATCGGGAGACCATGGCGGGACCGAAGCTGCCCAGAAAGGGGAGCAAGGACTGAAACTACTGCGATTACGCCTCAGTTAATGACACCATCCCCTCTGCGCGCCCGGGTCTCTGTCCACAGAGCACCGGCTGCTCTTATACAATCATCTGCCTCCAACGCTGACGTTTCTATTTCCGGCTGACTCCCCTCTTGAGTCCGGTTCTCTCCCCACAAGTCCAGCCGGGTACAAACACTGCGAAGGGTTTTCAGTTCGCTTCTTAGTTGATCAACAGGTGAAACCGAGCAGTAATGCAGGAATGGACCCTCCGGTGGTTCCTTACCAGTTGGTAGTTTTCGCAGCAGAAGCGGCTGTAGCTCCTGGCCGGCACCCTGAGGCCGCCGCGCTGCGCCATGTGGGCCCGTCACCTGGACGAGGACCTGGAGAACCTCCCCCCCACCCCCTCAGAAGTCCAAAAGAGGAGCGCACTGTGTCACAAAGAGGCGAGGTAAAGCAAGTAAATACAGCCATGCAGTTAAATCTCACAACAGCTCCGTGTGAATGAGCGGGACGGGTTTTCCTCCCTGATTTATGAACCTCAGGCGGCTTCTGAGAGGAGCCTCAGACACTCTGACACGGTTTGAACCCCCCCCCTCTCGCTGCGGGTGTCATTCACTCTGTCTGAGTCAGACACCCTGACTCCGTCCCTTCTTCTTCTGCTGTAGAGAGACAGACCAGCAGCGTGAAACTCACTTCTATTTAACATATCCTGCCACGTAAGCAGACGACAGACATTTTTAAAGCACGACGTCTTTGGCACTTAACTCATCCTGTCATTCCCTGTTGAAGTGAGAACGATAGAAGGCGGAGCTCCCTCTGTTATTTATGATAGTCATAAACCCCTAAAACAGATGCATGCACGTCACATGAATATATATAGATATATGTAAATGTGATATGTTTATATGTGGATGTCTCAAACCTTTATCTGAGTAATATCTAAATAAGTTGGGGGTTCCCTGCGGTTATGAGACTTTTGGCTGAGTCTTG